GCAGCTCAGCTTTACTTGATTCTCCATCAATCATGTTTTAGAGTCTCAAATCTGATCCTCAGGATCTTTTGAGGAGCGTTTGTTTCCAGAAGCTTTACTTTCACTGTTCCTCAGCGGAGGAATGATCTTCACAAGCCTCCAGGACATCTCACATCTTCTGAGGAGCCTTTATTTCTTCAGCTCTCAATCACTGCATTATATGTTTGGAGCATTTCAATCTCATTTTACTAACACAGATTACTGGACATTTGTGACCATGGACCACAAAACCGATATTTTTGATATTGATATTGATAACCGATTTATACATCATCTGAAAGCTGAATAAATAATCTTTCCATTGATGTATGGTTTGTTAGGATCGGACAATATTTGGCCGAGATACAACTATTTGAAAATCTGGAATCTGAGGGTGCAAAAAAATCTAAATATTGAGAAAATCATCTTTAAAGTTGTCCAAATGAAGTTCTTAGCGATGCATATTACTAATCAAACATTAAGTTTTGATATATTTACAGTAGGAAATGTACAAAATATATTCATGGAACATGATCTTTACTTAATATCCTAATGATTTTTGGCATAAAAGAAAAATGTATAATTTTGACCCATACAATGTATTTTTGGCTATTGCTACAAATATACCCCAGCGACTTAAGACTGCTTTTGTGCTCCAGGGTCACAAATAGAAAGATGAGAGATACGCATGTAGTTTTATGTAGGTATGTGTTATTAACTGACATTACAAGCATCAGAATTGTCGTTTTTTGAGTAGCATTATATAACAGCATGTGCATGAAATTGCTCTTAGCTGAAGTGTCTGAATAGAATGGATAGGTTTGCTGTGAGTATATACGAGTCAGAAAAGCCTTGTTAGACAGTCAAGTAGTTGTTGCAAACACACAATTCATGCATGTGGCACATTCTTTAATCCAAAGCAATTTGCATGAGAGGAACAAGAGCACAGAGCAGACAGAGAGAGCAAACAGACCAGAGGAGTCAGGAGTGAGCTTAAAGAGAAAATAACAGAAATGGAGAAAGCATGAGATAAAACTACTTGTGTAGATCAATGTTTGCAAACCCTGTTGTTGGAGGCACAGCAGCACTTCTGAAGAGCTGGTAATGAAGCACACCTGATTAAACTTGTCAGCTAATTATTAGAGAGTCCAAGAGGCAAGATGGCTGGGTCTCACAAAACACATCCAAAATGAGTCTTGCTGGAGAAGAGCGGTGTAAGTGGATGTTGAAGGAAAGCAGCACATCTTGCATGTAGTTGAGCTGGTGGATGGTACAAGACCAGAGGAAGAAACGTGGCAGGATTAGTTCTAGTCATGGCAATGAGCTGAAGTCAGTTGGTAAACGTAGCCATTGACACACTCGTATAGCGTGTGAGCCCACTTTTTATGAAGTGTCTGTAAGTACTATGTCGTGACATTACAAGCACTCATTTCTTACAGTGCACTTACTGTCTACTTACATGCTTTCACTTTAGACTTCTGATTCTAAACATCCTCTTCCAAATATATCCATCATTACTAACACACTACCACAATTCGACAAACACAGCAACTACTTTCCAACACAACAGCCCCCCCCGGCCCCCTTTTTAATACATGCCACCTGATAACAAGAGCCAGTGTTTTGCGTCATATTTTTCCATCACTTTTGAAGTTCTTTTCTGCTTTCACCTTATTTACTTTACATTCCTCACATTCTATTGTGGGTTAGACATGTGGAAATTGATTGTCTACACAATTCCACTTCACCTCTTTTCAAGACATTACAATGAAAAATGTTGCCTTAGAACAAAAAGTTATTGTGTGAAAGGGTTTCCGTTCAGCCATAATAGACCTGCTTCTTCCTCCTTACTTATTAACACAACTACTGTTCACAAAATGCTTCTCTCAAAGCAGCCCTTCTTTAAAACAGAACCCTTTTTTGGACCTACTTCAACACTACTACACCACCTCCAAGATCACGATTAATCTCACCTGATCTCTGTCACACACAACTACTTTTTCCCAATTCATATTTCATTTGATTTGATCCTTTGAATTTGAATTAGTTTGCCCTGTTCACACTGTCACTCCAAAGCCTTGTGCACATCCACTTCAAACACAAACATATTTCACAAATCTGAACAGCAAAACAATCACAATCTCCAATTTTCCCACATTCTGTCTCAAGCTACATTCATATATGCTTTGAAATCCTAGTCAGGTCACATTTCTGAAAATCCATTTCAGTCTGAGCGCTCGGATTGGATTTTGTGTAGCTTTTTCACATTCTCATCCTCATCAGATGTAGCTTGTAAAAAACATACTGAACATCTTTGCAGAAACAAGGTAGTGCTGTTACAAAGTGCAACTCATGCGGAAAATGAATATATAATGCTTCTGAGACCGGCAGAACAACAGCAGCACAGAATAAACACAAGCATTCAATTTTCTGCCACTGCCTCATAAAACGCAATATAATCCAGCTAAATGGCAACGTGTTGTCATGTCATACGACTACATCTGTACTGCTGTTATTAGAGTACGCACACCAACACAATCTCATTGCCATTGAAAGCAATGCAAATATTACATAAAATGAAAAAGCACCACAGGACACACAAACCCCATCTGAACAAATGCAATACACAGTGTGGACACTCAATCCTTTCCAACACATTCTATTTGCATATGAACAAAAATCAGATTTGGACTGACAGTCAAATTTGCATTTTACTGCCTGCATTGGTTTCTATGGCAGTGCCTTTGCATTGTTATGCCTACACTAAAAACAACAGCAATACAGATGTTGTCTTACACCATCACAGCATGTTGCTATCACACTGGATTACATTTCATGTTAACACTTTACTTAAACCCTTAATGTATAATGCATTATAAAGGCTTGCATTATAATTATTCATAATGTGCATTGTAATACATTTGGTCATAAATGATTAGAACACAACCTAAAATGCAGTGTAACAGAATTCTTAAGTGTGATAATGTATTAACTGTGGTTACAATTATTTATCAGATTGTACGGTGCATTACAAGCCACAATTAATGCATTCAAATACTTTTGTAATGCATTATACATAAAGGCTTTAAATAAAGTTTAAACCCATTGCATTTTATAAGGCATCAGCAGAAATGACTTTACTCCATGCTGCCGCCATCTCCGTCAGTCTCTAAACTCAAAGATCTGCGTTCACTAGCAGTGTGTCGTCATTTTCCACATGACTTGCACTTTGCAACAACACAAGCTCGCTTCTGCAGAGACGTTCAGCAAGTTTTCGACAAGAAGCACTAAATCCAATCTGAACAGTCAAACTGACACACATTTCCAGAAATGCAATTTGAATATGATTTCAAACCACGTCTGAATGCACTTTCAAACAGGTTTCAAAAATTCAGATTTCATTGGATTTTTTTGGTTACTCACACATGCTACATGTGATCACATTGCAATGCACAAAAATCAGATTTGGACCGACACTCTGAGCAAGGCTTGAAGGCAGGCATTGTTTTCTATCATTTCACCCTTCATTCATTTCTAATACGTTTGTACTGTATGAAGCTGACCTGTGTGTTTGTATCTGTCCAGTGTCTGCGGCAGATGGGCAAACTGATGACCGAGTGCTGGGCTCACAATCCTGCGTCCCGTCTGACTGCCCTGCGGGTGAAGAAGACGCTCGCCAAGATGTCCGAGTCTCAAGACATCAAACTGTGACACGAGCGTCGCTCCGAGGAGACACAGCGGCTTTATCCTGCTTTCTGTGAAAGTTCATTCGAGCCGCTCACCCGACAGCGAAGCAGGACACCACAGATAAACACTGACCGTCAAACACTCAACATGCAGCTCTAACTCTCAATACTCATCCACAGCTTTTTGGAAACAAACAAACAACTAAATGATCCAATGAAATGTATTTTCCAACTCTGACCCACACAACATTACAAATTAAGCTTTTTCCCTCACATTTTCCCGAAGACTTATGGAAATGACGGCCTGGTTTATCCAGTCTTTTCCTCACTCTGCAGAAATACGTCCTTGTAAAATATGAATGTACATATTGAATGTCATGCATTAAAGACAAATGTTTTGGTGCGTTACAGGATGTTTTCTTTCATGTTGCCTTGTGCCTTATTTAACACACATGTAAAAGTTTAATATTTCATAGTTCTGTGTAAATGGAGTGACAACAGTGTCTAACATTCCCGTCCCTTTAATAAAATGAATTAAGTCCTGACATGCTCCTTACTATTTTTTTCTTTCATCTTTCTTATGAGGAAACACCAACATTTTCACATCAATTTACAGAGCTGAAATAAAAAAACAACAGCACCACCATCACTGCCACCAAAAAACATACACAATCATTTATAATGAACAATTTCTTCCTTTTTGGCCACACTTGTTTTCACTTCGCAAAGAAATAGTTAATGCAAAAAAAATGTACATTTGCTGAAATTGTGCTCAACCATCCAACATTAGGATGAGTTTGTTTCTTGCTCAGATTTGTAGAAATGTAGCAATGCATCAGTGTCTCAGCAATGGATGCTCTGCAGTGAATGGGTGCCGTCAGAATTAGAGTCCAAACAGCTGATAAAAAAATCTCACAATAATCCACAAGTAATCCACAGCACTCCAGTCCATCAGTTACTGTCTTAAGACAAAAGCTGCGTGTTTGTAAGAAATTAAGTCATCATTAAGACATTTAATATATTGCCTCCGAGTAAAATACTCATACTTTTTATCAGGTGTTATTATGGATTATGTTCATTTAAGCAGCTTGAACTTTTGCAGTGCTGAAACAAAAATGCATAAATAAAAACAATTAAAACATTAAAGAATTTTTAAACTTTTTTATTAAAAATAAAATACATGACAATTACAGTGAAAATAAAAATGTCATACTTAAGTATGACCTTTGGTAATACTATATTATGCATATTAGCATATAAAAACATAATAACAACGACACACACTCCAAATCAGTGTTGCATATAAATATAATTTATTACTTGTTTAAAAATTCTTTCTTACATTTTGTACAGAAACTTCACAGAGGAGATGCAAGCGTTCGCAAATTACGTCATGAACGTGCCATAAAAGAATCAGTAACATCCTCACTATAAATATAATAATCGTATGATAACTATGGAAAGCGACTGCTAGCGGTTTTTAGCATGTATACTTTGCTTTATAAAGGATGCAGATTTTGCATAGACAGCTTTAGAAATCTGAACAAGAGCGAATGAAGGTGAACGCAGAAGTACAAACACACTCGAATGGCTATTACTCAAGTTGGTCTCTGTACACTTTGTATTTTACCGCATGCATCCATCCGTTCATCAGTCACTCACTCCTGAACGTCCTCCGATACGCTGCTCTCCGTCCGTTAAAATCGCATCGATTCAGAGGATCAGAGACGGACCTCTTCAGAAACGAGCAGAAAGCATGATGACGCTCTGTGAATTCTGTCCAGTAAAGTTTATTCCTGAAATTCACGTCACGTTTTAGTTCCGAAGCAAGTTTACAAAACGGTGCAATCGCGCGAAGATGTCCGTTGGTTTCCTTTTCCCCTCTAAATTTCGATTACACACAGATCACTATGCAACAAAACAATTAATAATCAAAAGAAAACAGAAGAATAACACCGTTAAACTTTACAGTTCAGATGTGTTTGCTGTATATTTACAGGAGGCTGGAGAGACGTGTAGTTACAGGCTCAGTCCACTGGGTAGCGCAAAAAACAATGAGACGCAAAACCCGAGGAACGGGATATAAATAAAGGCATTTCTCAACACAGATTGACAGAAAGGTACCTCCGAGTGTTTTCAGGGAACGAACCGCCACGACTCGTGTGACGTCAAGCCGGAGGTCCAGTATTTGGACGGCAGAAGTCGCGTTTCCTAAGAAACTGATTGGGATGGGAACGTCTTCCTCTGCTGGGAGCGGGTCTGCCGCGCTCACAGTGATCCGCTGGGACTCCTGGGAAGGACGGAGGTCAGTGCTCGGCGCTCATGATGTTCTCGTGACGCCCCATCTCCTCCAGCACGGCCGCTAGACGGTTCAGATTGCCGTCGGGGAAGTGCTGCGCCTCCCACAGGTCCAGGATCACGCCGGTCGGACTCGACTTGGTGGCGAAGTAGTTGAGATACCTGCGGAGCGACAGATCAGACGTGAGGCTGACGTGTGATCGATACCTACATTAACCAGCCATGGGGCAGTTTAGGAATTTTCTATTAAAGTCTGTGTTGATTTAGACAGGACTGGTGCTGAAACACAACCAAGATAAAAAATGAGGAGAACAATTCTGGGGCGAAAAACAACAACAACAACAATGAAATGTTCAAAACAATATGTGACCCTGGAGCTTAAGTCGCTGGGGTATATTTGTAGCAATAGCCAACAATACATTGTATGGGTCAAAATTATAGATTTTTCTTTTATGCCAAAAATCATTAGGATATTAAGATCATGTTCCATAAAGATATTTTGTGAATCTCCTACCGTAAATATATCAAAACTTAATTTTTGATTAGTAATATGCATTGCTAAGAACTTCATTTGGACAACTTTAAAGATGATTTTCTCAATATTTAGATTTTTTTGCACCCTCAGATTCCAGATTTTCAAATAGTTGTATCTCAGCCAAATATTGTCCAATCCTAACAAACCATACACCAATGGAAAGATTATTTATTCAGATGATTTCAGATGATGTATAAATCTCAATTTCAAAAAATTGACCCTTATGACTGGTTTTGTGCTCCAGGGCCACATATATATATAATAGGGTTAGTTCACCCAAAAATTAATTCTGTCATGAATTACTCACCCTCGTGTTGTTCCAAACCCGTAAGACCTTCGTTCATCTTCGGAACACAAATTAAGATTTAGATTTCTGATGAAATCCGAGAGCTCTCTGGCCCTCCATAGACAGCAAGGATATTACCACGATCAACGCACAGAAACGTAGCAAGGACATCGTTAAAATAGTCCATGTGACATCAGCGGTTCAACCGTAATTTTACGAAGCTACGAGAATAGTTTTTGTGCGTAAAGAAAACAATAATAACATAATTACAATTTCTACTGAACGTAAACGGTCTTACGGGTTTGGAACGACACGAGGGTGAGTAATTAATGACAGAATTTTCATTTTGGGTGAACTATCTCTTTAAACATTAATAAAAAACACATGAACTGAAAAAATACATGAAAAAAAATTGAAATTGTTAAATAGAATCAATCTAAAGTTAACAAAAAATTAATACATAAATACGCACAAACAAACACATACCAAATGATATAAAATATCATGCCTTCTGAAAAAATATGTTTTGATGTAGGCAGATAAAGAAGGTTTGCACTGCTGATTACAAACAAATAAAACAGAAAAAACACATTTAAAAACTATGAAAACATGAACAAATAAAAATAAATAAAATTATTTTAAATGGTTAAAACATTAAAACAAAATGAGAATTAGAGCTACTGAAATGATTAAATCAAACCAGCTCAAATATGAACAAATATAAAGGTTTTAAAATATCATGCCTCTAAAATACGTGTTCACTTCATAAGCAGATACAACTTTTGCAGTGCGGAAATATATAAAAAACAAACAAACAAACAATAATATAATAAGCACATTTGAAAACATAAAGAAATACAATTACAATAAAATATATTAAATAACAATGTTATATTAAATGTAAAAAAAAAAAAGCAAAACAAAACTAAAAATATGAACAAGTGAAAAAAAAAATGTTATAATGTTATTAAATATATATATATATAGTTTAGGTATGAGGTGGATTAAACGATCTAAAATGTAGTCATGCAGAATAAGGCATTAATATGTGCTTTATAAGTACTAACAAACTGCCAAAATGCTAGTAATATGCATGCTAATAAGCAACTAGTTAATAGTGAAAATCGGTCCTTTCTTACAAAATATTTATTTTATTTTAATTATATTGATTTTTTCCCTTTATTATACACTTCATTCATTCCAGCACTGGTATTTTTCTCACACTCTCATGAAAACCCATTATGCTCTGCATAACAATATTTAGGCCATGTAAACCGGTGATACACACAAAGTTTTATTTAAACGTCTTCAAGCATGTAAAGTGTCACAGCGGGGCATCTGGAAACACGTAATGATGTTTTTAAACCCCATTTTCAGAAATGAGTGTGTTTTCCAGCACTACTTATGAGATTCTGAAGGTTTGGTTTGTTTATTTGGTTCCACAAGCTGCTGCTCCGACACATTTACACCTCAGAGAAGAGACACACAGCAGGAGAGGATGCTGGGAAAACTGTGACAAATACAGGCAGACTGAGAGAGCAGGGGAGGGGCAACACCGCTGGCAGCTCGGCATGCTGGGATAGATAAGATGCCCTGCTGAGACGAGTGCAAACACAGAAAACCACTGCAGGACATCATGTGACCTTCTACTGAACACCAGTGTCCGTATCTAACTTATTATCAGTTCGTTACATTTGTAACATGATTAAACCAGCAGTGAAAAACTATAAATGTGCACTGAAATATGAACACAAACTAAATTACTTTTTCCAATCAACTCATTTAATGAATCTCCCAAATCTGACTTTAAATGGTTAAACAGAACCAGCCAATCAGACACGAGGCTGCAGTCTGATTGACACTTACATTAACCAACCACAGCAGACTTTCAGAATGTTTTGATAAAATGTGTTGATTTAAATAATATTAAAATAAAAATAAAATAGAATAAAATAAAAAATGTAAAACTAACAAAAATACAAATGAAAAATGAAAACAAATAAAAAATATTGAAAACATAAAAAAAAAATCGAATCTAATTAAATTCAATTAAATTAAATTCAATAAAAAATTAAAGTAAAAATGTAAAACATTAAAACAAACAAAAATAAATTATAAAAAATAAAAAATGACAAACTTTTGAATAATATGAAAAAAATTTAACATTCAAAGAAATCAAAAACTAAAATAAATCCTACTGAAAATATTAAATAAAATAAACTTAAATAAATGTAAATTAAATTAAACATTAAAACAAACAAGAACAACTCACAAAAACTCATCAAAAACAAAAAAGTGAAAAAAAAAAAGAAACTACTGAAAACATGAAATACAATAAACAAAGTAAAAAAGAAAAAACACATTAAAGCATATGAGTTATATCATATATCACATGGAATAACTGAACTATATATTGTAATAGGAGTGAATGGCATCTGACCTGTCCAGGTTGAGTTTGTGCGCCAGCATCCTCCAGTCGTTCCCGCGGGTCTGCGGCGCGTCCAGACTCCCACACAGCTTCTGCCGGATGGACAGCGGGATCCGGAAAGCGTTGGGACCCACCAGTGTGGTGATGTTACTGGCCGGATCCAGAAGAGACGTGTCGATGCACTGAGAGTCCTGAGCAAACACACACCACAACGAACTACATCACACACCGTCATTTCATTCCCACTTCTGATCAGATGTTATACTGTTTATAATCAATCAATCAATCAATCAATCAATCAATCTATCTATCTATCTATCTATCTATCTATCTATCTATCTATCTATCTATCGTTCTGTCTATCTATCTATTA